GCAAACCTGTTATTTTTACTTAATCTCTCAGTGGCTTTTGATATTATCCACCATGGTATCCTTCCAAGCTGATTTGGTGAGATAGATATTGAAGGTGTTGGGTCATTTTCAGTTGGCACCCTGAGCCTTGGGGTGCTATGGGGTACCATCTTGTCCCTAATGTTGTTTATCATCCATATAAAGCCATTGAAAGCAATCATTTGGCTATTTGGGGGGAAATGTCAACAGTATGCTGCTGATACCCAGCTCTTTTTATCTGAAATAGCCAAATCAAGAGGCTGCGCAATCCTTGGGCTGATGCTAGGACTCAGTGGTGGGCTAGATAAAGGCCAGTAAACTGGCAAGATGGAAGCCCTGTGGGTTGGTGGATCTTGAGTCCAGGTCAATAGCCTGTTTTGAATAGGGTCATAAATCCCCTAGCACAAAATAATATTTGGTGTTGATTAATTAGGTTTTTGTCTCTGGTTTAGAAGTTCATGCATGTTGTCACATGCATTTGTGATATGTAAGCAAGCTTTCCCATTTCTTGCAATAATGCAAGCAAATCAGGTGTCCCTTCGCATGTGCAGAGCTCGTCTTCTCACAGTTGCTACCTTTCTGTAGCACAAGGTACCAAATTAAGGACTACAGAGTCCTTATTGGCCACATAGTTATTCTGCAACAGAACACCCCATACATATATTTTATTTAATATAAAACAAGTCTTAGATACTTTTGTACTTAAAATTAAAAAGGGATTTGACCACAAACAATGAAAAATGTGGATTTTAAAGTTGTTTTGTTATTCTGTTCCGATATTATCTGTCATTCTGGTCTGGTCTTGGGCTGATGACTAAATAACTTATTATTAATACCCTTTATTCTTTGGTTTCTTAAGACTGATGGAAGTGGGGGGGGGAGCTGCAAATGCAAGATCAGAAAATTAAACTGGATTTAAGAATAATTTATAATTCTTAACAAGCTTCGCCTACATTCAGAAGCAATTAGCATTTCAAAATTAAGGGATACCTGCCTATATATTTCAAATGGTGGCATATTCTGCCTTTTAGGAGTGTTGGGTTGAAAAATTAAGTGCTTTTCTGAGGCAAGTCTGCCAAAGGAAACAATGCACTAGGGAAAGAGATCATGCCAGATACGAGTATCCGATATTTAATGACTGAACCATGGTAATTTCTCAATTTTTCTCTTAAATAGAATTTTAATAAATAAAACCAAAATTAACCAAACAGAATTTAAGAGAATTTAGGCATGTTTTAAGCCTCACTCACTCAAGCTAGGCCCCCAAAGCACATTGTGAGCCATTTGGATTTTGGCGGCTAGCTCAGGTGCTTTTAAGAAAAATCTTCCTCAGAATTAAATAGTGGTGTCACTTCCAAGTAATACTTTCTCCAGATAATGCCCTTTTAGTAATCTTGTTACCTCACTTCCTCACAGAGGAAGATCTAAAGGCACAAAGCTCCTATTATCTTAATACATTCCCGGGAACTTTGCTAAGGAGTTTGGTCACTGAAAAGCTAACCTCCTCAAGACCACTCAGCATTTTGATTGATGGTTTCTTCTCGTGTTTTACGATTTCGCTGCTGCTTCATCCAAAACAGTTTGTGTGGATTTGTTTTTAATTGATTCTTTTGTAGAAATGTAGCAATTGCAAGGTTTCTTGGTATTAGGAAAAACACAGACTCAAATCATTACACATACTATTGCTAAATGTTGCCTGTATATTTTAAATGAAATTGTTATTAATGTTGGTAAATTAGAAGTTTTGAGATTTGGTAGACATTTCCTCCCCAGAGTACTTTTGGATCTTTAGTATATATATATATTTTAATCCAAGGCACCTTTAGCCAAGAGACTGAATATGATTCTACTTCGTGCAAATATGAAACAGCTACAAATCCAGTCAACTGCAGACAGAAATGGCAAAACTGAATGATCTGAATTTGAAATCCAAATGGCATTTCGATCGATAAATGGGGGTAGTTAAATATTTTTGGCTATTTCCTAATTTACATATGCTAAAGTGTGCACCTGCCTTGTTTTCTAGTATTTGGCCTCAACTCCTAGCTTTAAACTGTACATATTTTGGAAAGTTCATTCACATGGAATCTTATATTTAACAGTTTCATGGGGTTGTTTCTTTGGGACGAAAGGAGTTTCTCAAGAGCCTTTTTTTCTCTGCTCCCAATGAAAAGAGGAGAGCAAAGCCATCCGCTTACCACAAAGCAGTCCCACCACAAAGGAAAGATTAAGGGTTTAGGGAGAGGTCAATGTGGGTTTTTCTCTAACTAAACACTTTCCTAAAGTTTCCTTGTGGTAAAAATAATGAAGTCATCTAAGAGTTTTTAAAGAATTTTTATTTCTTTTTCACCGTCTGCATTCGCTTGTCTTCTCAGCATGGATGTTTAATCTTTCTAGGCTTTGTGAATTGGCCCAAATGAATAAGTGGTGAGCTGTCTCTCTAGGAGCTAGCGGCTTATTCTAAGGCCCTAATCACTGAGTAAACACATCTTTGCCCTCCCTCTCTTACAACTGCTATATAATAGTGGAGATTCTAGCACAGTAACCTGGATATTGCAGAGATCCACGCTTTGAAATGCAGAATGGCTGATCCTCCAAAACAGACAGTGCCTGATCTTCTCCTGCCTCTTTCTTCTTTTTTAAATTAAATATCACCACTGAGATGCTGTTTTATTGCCTGATATTGTGCATTAGTGCCCTGGATTTTCAAGTTTAGTTTCAGTCAACATTGTTGGCTGCACTTATATGGAACTGTGCATGTTAGGCTTATTGGTGGCCTTTTCTGGTGCATGTGTACTTGGTTTTGAATCGCTTTTTAAATTAAAGCGGACAAACATTAATGTAAATGTCTAATCCCTTTTCCAAAGTCTACTGTTGAAATGTTTTATACTTTTAAAATTGATTTTGAGGACTTACACAAACTCTGTATTTTATAAATGTGCTGATTTAAAATGAATATGTTGTTAGAACAGATGTTTCTATGCATTCAACATATTTATTTTTAACTGGCAATTTTTAGCTGGTTAAATACATTGGCTCTGATCCAAAGAGTTACTTTGGGTATGCCCAGTGCTATTTCTTACTCCCTATAACCCCTGCCTCTTGCCATATTGCAAACTGTTTTTAAAATGTATTCCAGAAACACAATTTCAGAACCCACATTATGTGTTGATCTAATTGCATCTTGGCCAATTCCTTGTGGGGCAGATTTGAATGTATCATAAAAAGACAATAGTTTTCATGAAAGATGCTTGCTCATTATTACTCGTGTCTCTTAAAGAAGAAGAAGCTTAATAGCCTTATGTCGGAACAGCTTGCCAGGTAGCCATAGGCTGTAAGGAAATTGAGCAGCCTGGTGGACAAGGCCATCCCTGCTCCACCAACCCACTTGGTTCCCATGCTGGCAGCAGATGAATGGGATTCACTTCTTCTGGAGCCAGCAAAACATCTTCCCCACATCAGTCCATTTAGTAGAAGGCACTTACAAAACGAAGCCCACATTTCCACCATGGAAATACAGGCTCCTACTTTCTTAGGCTAGTTGAAAAAAGTTGCAGGTTGGTAATGTTTTTGGGCTTATTTACAGGACAATATTTTAATAAGCTTCACTTAAATTTGTCTGTTGTCTACAGAAGCTGAAATATTAGGAACGGAACTATACCTCATCTTTCTATGGTGGGCTTTGCCACTGCAGCCTCCTGGAATAATGCTTCTTGTGAAACTGCCAGCAGTACAAAACTACCTATGAAAAATGATTTGAAACTACCTGTGAAATTAATACTTAGGTTTATCTAAATTGTAAATGAATGAAATTTTATGTTGTAAAATTTTATATAACGTTTCCAAGCTATGAGTTGTGTGGTGTCAGAATTTTTTTGGTGAGTTTTCTTTTTATATCAGCAGCTGTATTTTCAAACGTAATTCAGAATCTAGACAATTTGATAGTTATCAATTTCCCCTGAGATGTTGGGCAAAACAAAGCAACAGCATAGTGTGCTAGAGTAACATTATTAAACTTACTGTAAACTCAACAAGTTAGTTAGTTTAAAAAGGAAATTGAAACAAAAATCATTGTTGCTATGAGATAAATATACTCTGTTAGATTGAGACTTTCCATGAATGGAGTTTGGGTGGAGGGGTTAGTGGTGGGTGAGGCTATTTTCCCATATAGCCCCCATGCTGCTCCAGAGTTGGGTACCCTGCAAAACAGTGTGGAAGGTAGCATTGTGAGCTGCTTGGGGAAGGGGGAATTGCCTTGCCTCACCCCTTTCTGCTGGATCCCTTTTGTGAACAGATGGATTCACAATATAATTTTACCCATGTGGCCTGGGAATCAGGGAGTAGTTTGCACAGGAATGCTCTTTCCATAGGACTACAACCCAAGTAAATGAGAGATTTTGCCCCAGATCCAGAGAAAGTTTTGAATACACAATTTCCCTAGATCCGTTTTTGTGTGTGTGTGTGTGTTGCTGTGCACAAAAGGAAATGTGGTACTACATCCCTTGTTTAATTCTCCCTCTTCCTAATGCATAGTAAACCTCCTATCCTAATGCCATTGCATTAAAATCAGCTATTGGTTGTACAGTAGTACTTTAAGTATATGCAACTGATTAAATTCTAAATTCAATTTCGATGATCATGACAGAATGTAAACATGGCTTTTCTTCTTTTTATATAATAGTCACAACATTATTATTTCTGTAGAAAAAAATGTTCTTAAATAAACATTTTGGCCATGGGTTCTTGATCGCAAGAATAGAGTAGTTCACTTTCTCTCCAGATACCATTAAACAAAGAATTGTTTCTATGGAAGCAGCAGCGGAGTGCTGGGTGCTGAGATTGTTGAAAGGATGTTCCAGCAATATCAATAGGATGCCTCCAAAATATTTGGTTAGGGCTGAGACAGAAATTTCACTTATATCTGAAAGTGGGGGGCAAATAAATAAAATTATCATGCTAACACTTCCCCCCCTGTTTTTCAGAGAAAGCTGCTTGCTGTCTACCTCCACCATGATGAAAGTGTGCTAACCAATGTGTTCTGTTCTCAAATGCTTTGTGCCGAATCTATCGTCTCCTACCTTAGTCAGAACTTCATAACCTGGGCATGGGATATGACAAAAGAAGCAAACAGAGCAAGGTAAATAATTTGGAGTTGAATTTTTTAATTGAGTTGAGTTTTAAGAACTCAAGAAACTCAGTGTATCTTTATAATATATGTTACATAGTATACCGTCTGTTTAAATAATAGATTTTGGGACTGCTCCCCCCCCCTGCCACCTTTATCTTGCATTGTTCAGTGATTTACTTTTCACAGGCTAATGTTCTCAGGATGCAGCCACTGTGCGTCCAACACCCTTCCCCACTCTGTTCATTCACAAGTCTCCTGGGCCATTCTCTTCCTCCTGTCTGCCAGGGTTAGTAGATGAATGAGGAGAGTGAGCAAGAGAACCAGTGAAATATCTGAGTGAGAGGCATTATGACTGCATCCTTTTCTGGCACCTTGGAGGATACATTTAGAGTCACCATCACCCAATGAAGACCTGGAAAGCATATTATCAACAAGTGGAACCTTCAACAAAGAGATGCGGTGATCTGATTCACACATCATATTAAACCGTAGTTAAAATAAACTATAGTTCAATGTGAATGAGCTTGCTGGTACACACTGCTCAAATGCCCATTCTTCACTCTTCTTCCATCCCTGCTGCTTCCATGCCAGGAAGGAAACTAACTAGCTTGCTGTTCCATGTGTGGAAAAATATGAAGATTATTTCACCTAAAGAATCCATGAGTGGTAAGCCAAGAACAAATCTTGGAGAGAAACAACCATGAGTGCAGGTATACTTAATGAGAAGCCAGAGTCTGACTTGTTTCCTCACCAGCATAGCTGGAATAGGGGAGCAGCATAATGTGGACTTCTGAAATGCATCCACTTATGAGAAGCATGCACTAGCATGCTGCTCATTCAAATTGTTTATTTCATAGTTTTAACTAATGCTTAATATGTAATGTGAACTGGGCCAGTGTGGCCTTCTTCAGTTCAGATTTCTAGCCTACCAGTCATGCCTTCTTTCAGCACATACTCTGTCCTATTCTTTTTCCTCCACTTGATTTTCTGTCTATTAGCCCCCAATACTAAATCAGCATTCTGTGCTGATTGACACATACCAAGTCCTCTTTTACCTGTTTTGTGGTTTCTTCCTCAGGGTTGTGTTTTCCTAAAGATTTTTCATTTTGGGTGGAAACTCTCCACACCTGATGATACTTCCCCTTTGTGTGTGGTGGTGCCAGTTTGGCTATATAAAGATTCAGACTTGGAGAATGAGTTCAATGGTGGTATAAGAAGGAACTGTAACAAACCTACAGATTGATGCAGTGATCTGTTGTGTCTGGGATGGGGACTTTAGAAAGGAGAGAACTTTCTGTTATGGGGTAGAATAAAGCAGTGGGATGGACCTGTGGGGTGTAAGCAAGTTGCAACCTGTTCCCACATCCTGATGAACTGTATAGAAACTATTGCGTTGCATAGATATGTAAGTGTAATACCAGAACCATCTACAAACACCCATTTCCCATCTGTCTCTTTGTTATTAATAGTTTTTTAATACACCACAGGAAGTTTAGTTTGAAGGGCCTCTGTGTTGAGCTCATGTGGGAAAGTTTTGTAATATGAGTAATAACCAGAATTGCTACACTGGATTTAATCTGATCCATTTGACTTTCGTCAAATGCAGCCTAATTGTGATAAATAAAGGCAGAAGTTTTCCCATATGGTGATACAGTTGTTGGCCTTTAGATTGCACTTAATTGTCTGCTGGCAATAGTTCCTTACCAAAGTTCTTTCTGTAACTGGTGGAATGTGTGGGTTATGTCATTCATCATGATAGCCTTTAGAAATATTGTATGTACCAATGAGCCTATGTCTATATATTTTTATGATGGAAGGATCTTAAAATTGTAGTAGCTGATCTCCTTTTTATTAACTTCAAGGATGGTCTCATTCCATGTTGCTATTGATAATTGTTACTTAATATAAACAGAGCACTTAAGAAATCACATGGTTTTGTGTTCCTATCGGACTAGTTCACTGACATGTGCATTCTTCCACATGCCACCCGGTAACTTACAAATGAGTTAATTGCAATTAACTTTTCAAATTAAGACTGAAACATGCAATGTTCTTGCATAATACTCCACAGACTACTTGGATGCATTTACCATAATCTTAATTTAATTTAGATTAGCTCACAGTGTTGACCCATGCTTTTAATTGTTTTAATTACTATTGAAAAGAGGGATAAAAAGTACTTTCTAACACAGATATGAATGAAGTAACTATGCTTTTTAACACGGCAAAATATGTGGACAAGAGATTGGGCTAAATCTTACATGCTGCCATTCACTGGGAGTAGGGAGTTCCCTCCTTTCCTTTTATCCCACAACTTGGTGTCGAAGGAAACACTATTTCTAAACCATCTGCAGTGGCTAAGTTCAGTCGACTGCCTGCTGTTGTATTGTTCTAGTCTCTGTGTAATTCTCTAGTTTCTTTTATTTTACAATGACAAAAAATTGCAGTGTAGTTTCTTTTGAAAATCTGTGTTTGAGGGAGGTTTTTTTATGACTGACAATCAACAGGCATGTCAATGCTTTGTTGTGTTTTACTAAAGAAGTCTATTAAGTAGCACAACTTTGATACACTAGTTATAAGAGTTTGCAGGTTACAGAGACACCTGTGGTGACCAAAGCGACAGAAGCTGCTTATTAGAAAGAGTCTGTACAGCTGTGTCCTATTAACTCCTTATGACACTTTTAGAAACACTTAATAAAGGGCTTGTTTAAGGCTTTATAGCTATTCTCAATGGATCTAGAACCTGATTGTGAAATACAATAAGATGCTTAAGCTTACACTTTTGGGTTTTGCTATCAGTTTATGACAAAGGAATTATTGTATAGCAGTTTTCAAATGGCTATATATAAACAAACTATTTTTTATTTAATTTTATTTCATTAGAGCATTTAGAACCACCCTTCTTGTATAAATACACTCTGCTCAGGGTGTCTTACAGCCTATAAAGATTGCGATTTAATAAAATGAGCAAAAAAACTTTTCAAAAGAGATGACATCAGCAGTTTTTAAAAAATCATTACAACATTGTCAACCTCATAAAAGAAAAGCCTGCCAGAAAAAAAAGTCTTCAACAACCAGTGAAAAACAGTGACAGAGGGTGCCAGCCACATTTCATGAGGTAAGATATTGGGTGCAGCCACTGAGAGAGCCTTCTCTTCACCCTCCCAGCCATGCTTCCATTCTAGGTGGAGCATAGGGAAGGTCAAAATACAATTAATACTTAATATATACATATACGTTTTGGTTACTCTTAGGCTGCAGGGTTATTCATGCAGCATGGGGATAGTGAGGAATTGCTAACTAGAGACCATAGTGCTATCACATGAAAATTGTGAAGGCTACTTTATAAATCTAACAGATGGGGTAATATTAAATTACTATCTTCCCAACACAATATATTAAAAATATAAAGTCCTGGCTATGATTGTTGATAGACATTGTTATGTGTATCTACAAATATCTGTTAACTTAATATGGACTTGTCACTTTGGTGGTATGAGGACAGATTAAGGTTAGATATTTTATTGAAAATTAAAGCAAATGTCTTGGACTCTTAAGTGGGTGGAAAGACATTCATAGAAAAATTGTTCCTCCTGCCTGGAGGGTCAGACATGATTTTTGGTGGGTTCTCCCTCCTCCAGAAACCCCCATCATACCTTTTTCCATGTTGTTCAGGAGGAGCCCCTGATCCTCTGGAGAAGCTGGTGATAGCACTGGTGGCTGCTGGGATAGGGGAGGAAGGGACCTTTCCTTCTGTGAACTTCCTTCTGCTCGCTTTTCTTAGAATCCAAGCTATTGTATGCATATTTCCACAAAGTATCGTCCAATTTGAACAGCGGACAATTGGATTGCCAAACCAGGTACATTACTACTGCAGCCGATTGGTTCTTTCTCTCTCCATTTCCTCACTCTGCAGCCTTTATTCAAAGCCGCTATAATCTGCAGAAGGAGTCAGACCTAAAATTGCATTTTACCTTCCTCTCATTATGATGGAGGATTGAAAGAGATTATGTGGGGCCAGGAAGTCCACAGTGGAGCACTGATGCTCATCCTTACCTGATGGCCTTATTATTGTTAGCATAATAATAAAGTTTATTATTCTTGCACCCAAAGTGGTTGACATAAACCATAAAAAACCAACAAAGCCACAATTAATTTATCAAGTTAAATAAAATGCAAGTTAAATAATAGCAGCTACTGAAGAATCATATCAATTTCTATGCACATGGTTATAACTCATCAGCAATTCAGGATCAAACTCATTGACCAAACACATGTCTGTTTGTTGTGTTTAGCCCCGAGCCCTTGAGTACAATATTTCAAATCCTCTTTTCCTTGGCTGGCGCTTGCTAGTCTTAATTTTAAAATGTTTCTTTCTCCTTTAGTGTCTCAGCTTAAAAAAGGGGTAATTGACATACACATTTCCTTATTTCCATGACCGAATAATTAGCCAAATTCACAGATCATACATCCTTTTTGCTAGTTCATTTGAATGAAAACCAGTAGGTTTACTGCTTTTGTATGCACTGGTCTCCGTGCACATGCAAGTGATGGCAGATGCCCTTTTAGTCTGGTCTGTGCCACTTCTGAATGTTTTTAAATCAGTAGAGAAAGTGGGAGAGAACCATTTTAAGTCAAATACATGTTCTAAATCAAAGTCACTTTGTGATTTATTTGGAAGACATGAAAAATACAGCAGCCAGTTTAAGCATCACTCCCTTGCCTTCAGTTCTGATGGATTCTCATGGAATGAAATAAAGTTTAGCAAGAGGTAACTTGCAAAAGAATTGGATCTGTTGCTGTTTAGATAGCAGTCCATTCTTAGACTTTTGTCTAAGTTTGCCAAAAATTGCTTCTATTTTGTCTATAATAATTTAAACACAGTTCAATTTACTTACAACAACATAATTATCAAAGGTGCTTAAAGGTGCCCGGGTCAGGAGTCTAATTAATGTTTTAAGAAATAAAGATTTACTACCAGGCAAGTTTGTCATTTTGTCTGTGGCTTG